CACAGCTGCATGAGAATGAGTGGACCGATCAGGTACAAGTCTGAACAGGTGACTCATTCCTATGACGAGCATCTGCTTGGCTCCAGACTCTGGGAAGACAAGGTGGTCAAGACCAATGCAGTAGCTGTGCTCACGAAGACTTCAAGCCAGCAACTCCTCCTGGGAGAAGTTGGAAGCTGTAGGGTATACTGAAGTTAGCTGTAGAGTAGGATGGGCAAGCAGTCAACAGAGGTTCCAGTCAGAGGGAACAGTATACAATAACGGGCTTATTTAAGCTGAAGGGCAGAGATTGAAGGAAATCTGAGGTCTAGGAAACGGATGGCAGAGGTGATATGCTCAGAGCTGAGGCCACAGTATCTGGGTAGGAAGGACCCCCTTATGTGGTTTGGGTTTCCCTTGTGAAAAGGTGACCCTATAATGTAGTTTTCCAGGGAAAGGCATGGTCTATGTATCTTGCACCAAAGTCATGATTAATACTCTGTCTCCTCTCACCCTTCAAAGCCTCATGGGATGGATGGTAAATTATATGGTCACTGATCATTAGGGCTTCAGGAAGAGGCAGCTAATCAAGGCAGGGACTGTGAAGGTGTGAGACCTTCACAGAGAACTCCAGCCCCACTGGAGGATGTGTACAAACATCTCAAGACACAAATGGGCTCATATATGCCTTTAAGATAACTGTGGCTTCAAAGCCAAAAGAAGTGGTTCAGTTTATGGCCTCGAGGATGCCCTATGACCAGTAGCCTTTCTGCAAGTCATCTAAAGAAGTTTAAGATAGACTACTCGGCGTCAAACGTTTCAGACAGAACCCTCTAGATGTTATGTGGTCAGTTATAAGAGATGCAGAGCAGAAGTCAAAATACATCTGGGTTTCACAGAAGAAGCCTGAATCAGGCAGATCTTCTTTTAATGCTGCTCACGCATGGATGGGTGACTAAACTCATGCAGCTTACGGGCTCTCAATCTCTTCCCCACACTGAATCCTATTGGTCAGGGCCTACTCTGAGGATACTCCAGCCTGTTCTCCTCCTTCTTCATCTCAGTGCTCAGGAGCTCTGGGGACTGGGGCGTTCTGAGAGGTCAGCTCTCTGGACCCGGCTTCTGGTGGAAGAGACCTCTTATCAGAGTTAATGAGAGTTACTCATAGTGTAAATGCTGTTTCCAGCCCGGAGTTGGCATTTCTGCTAGATTCTGCCTCTCCCACGGTAATTAACTAATTAACTATCAACAAAGGAGTGATGTAATTATGATACAGCAAGCCAGGCTGCTTATCCTCCCACTGAAGAACCCTCCCTCCACCCCCAAGCTCTTAGACCCAGGAGAGTCCAGCCAGTGTCAAACAGGACTTCCTGGGAATCAGGATGGTCACTTGCCCAGGCCTTTGCCCCATCCCTTTCCTTTGTCCCAGAGGCCAGGCTGGGACCCAGTTGGTTCTGAATGTGAACCCTGGACTCTACAAGGAACCTGTTTAGTGGCTAACTAGTCTGTCCTAACCATGGGCCTAGTGCTGTGGTTGAGGGTTTAGGCTCAATCTGTTTCCTCATCAGTAAGCAGATCTCTCCAGTGCTGTTCTATCAGTGACTACAGAATCCTCCATGAAGTTTGGACAACTCTTCCACATATGTGGGTATTAACTGAGACCCAGAGTATCATAGCATTTGACTGGGACCATCAGCAGGCATACAGACCTGGGGTCAGAATCTAGAACATCTAAGCCCAGACATCCTCGCCCTCCTTGCTTCACTAAGGATGTGGTATTCTAGTTTTGCTGGTGCTTTTCCACAGACAGAAAACCCAGTGATTCTACACTCCCTCTGTTCTGGCTTCTATAGGTGGAGACCCAGGAACTACAGAGAGCAGAGACATAGGGGTTGGGAAGTTTCCATAGGCAGGCCTTGGGGAATGCTCAGTCTGTGAGCCCCTGATGCTGTAACAGCCCAAGGACATTCATGTTGGACTGTGACTGGGATAGCAGAAGTGGCCAGCTGGCTCCTGTCTCTGTTTAACATGTGGCTTACAAGCTGTGTCTCATGTTCCAGAGATGTCTGGCAGGGAGCTCTTTAGCTCTAGACTTTTGGTAATCTGCCTTGGAATCTCAAGACAGAATAATTGTGGAAGCAGTCTTCATCAGAACTGGCCCTGTTGTTGCTTATGTAGCGATAGCCCCCGACTCTGCTGTGATGTCCTCTCAGGACAAGCCTCAAGTCCTAATCACCTCTGAAAGCCCAACTCCCTTATCATAGGCCCCCCCCCCAGCAACTGTTTGATCAAATCCACTTTATCAATTGCAGACTATTTATACTGCCTCTGTTTTCTTTCCCAACCCTGTCAGCGTGGCTTCTAAAAGATGTTAGCTCATTGTAATGATATGCAAATGATATTTGATCCCCTAAATTCTTTATTTGACATTATTTTATCTATTATCCACCATAACACATAGTCTGCATACTTGTCATTGTTATTAATAATAGCTACACTGAATTCCAAGGTTCCAACGGCCATGCTTTGTTTAAGCATTCTCTGATTGTTGGGTATTTGGGTTGCCTCCAGTATTTGAGCACTATAAATACCACTACAGGGCCACCTGGCTTTTTTCCCCTTCACCTGGAAATGTCTGTGCACACGAAGTTCCCTAGACTAGAGGTAGCATTAGCCTGCTACTCTGTCACAGACAGGCCAGTATCACATACTGGTGTTCAGGGCTTTCTTATCAAGCTCTTAGTGGCCCAGCAGAGGCAGAGTGGGGGTGGACTCCTTTGTGGCTAAAGCCTCTGAGTCCAGACTTGACAGGAGTCCTTCAGGAAGCTGCTGTCTCTGAACCTGGCTTCTTAGGCCTGTTTTTTCCATTGGAACATCTCATCAAATGGGCCCTGAGGTGGGCCTGATAATATAGACTTTTGTTCCTGGCAGGTCGTTTCTAGATTATAATAGGAAACAAACACCACAGGAGCTGAAAGGTGGTGTTTTGGTTGAACTGCCACCCTTTTTATTTACAACAAAGAGTAAAAGGAGCTTTCCTAAGACCACTCAGCCTGCTAGTGGCCGAACTGGGCCAGGGGTCAAAAACACCTCTCAGGTCTAGGCTAGGCTTTTGTATCCTCTACCTCCCCAGGGGAACATGTTTACAAGTTAGAATACTTACGATATGTAAGATGCAAATTCTCTAGTAACTGACACAATTTAACACAATTCCAATCAAACTCACAGAAGGGTTCTTTGCAGATATAGGTAGACACACCACGTCTTTATGGGAATGGAGTGCTGGCCTGATATTGAAACAGAGGTATCTTGGAGACTCACTATTGACAGTAAAAGCTGCAGCAATCAAGATAGAGAGGGGTGTTGATGGAAGGATGTGTAGAAAAGAGAGTGCAGAATTAGACTCCCATAGATATTATCAGATGGTTTTTGATATATACCATGGTGACTCCATGGAGGAAAGAATAATTCTTTCAATAAATGGTTTAAAAATGAGGTATCCTATGCAGAATAATAAAACTTGATATACACCCTACACTCTATTCAAAAATGAACCAACAGTCAATCGTAGACCTAAATACGAAATATGAAATATAAAAGTTTCTGAAAATAACAGAGGAGAAGATCTTTGTGATCCTAAGTTAGTCAGAGAGTTCTTAATCACGGAAACCAACTCATGATCCATAAAAAAAACAACAAACTGGATTTTATCTAAATAAGACACGTTGCTTTCTGTTACAGAAGTGTTAAAGGTAATGAGGGGAAAACCCTACAGATTTGCAAAAATATTTTCAGATCACACATCAGACAATTAACTTATATTTCAGAGAATAAATGTTTAAAAAATAAACAAACAAACATGAGAGCAGAAATGGCCACAATCTTTAAACTGGTAAAAGCTTAGAAAATATGCCCAAACAAACAAGGCAGCAAACAGAGATGCTTAACACTGTAAGTCATTAAGAAAATACCTATTCAAACCAGAATGAGATCCCATCCCATACCCCCTAAGACACGGACTCCACCAAGTGCTGTGAGATGTGAAACATCTTGAACAGTCACAGGCTTATCCGGGGAAGGGAAGCAAAATAGCACATTCATTATGGAAAATAGATTGATCGTGTCTCACAAAGTTAAATGTATGCTTGCTGGGCAATAAAGCAATCCCACCCCAAGATGTTTACAATAAAAGAATTAAAGCATCATCACATGAAAACCCATCAAGTAATGTATAGATTATTAGTAATTGCCAAAATCTGGATCTAAGCCAAATGTCTCCTCATAAATGCTCTCTGACACATTCATTCCCTAGGATACTCATTTTTTCATAAAGAGCAACAAACTGGTGCTATATACTGGAACTCTCATACACTAGTGATGGGAATAAAAAACTTGCATAGCAATTATGGAAACTAGCTTGGCTATTTCTCATAAAGTGGATCTCAGTGAATGACTAAATCTTAATGAATGAGTGAATCTCCATGAATAAATAAATTTCAGAAGCATGATGTTAGGTGAAATAAGCCATGAGGTAATGCTATATAATTCTACTTACATTACTTTATAGAATGAGCAACATTTTAGGGACATGATGCAGATTCCTGGTTACCAGTGGTTGGGAATGAAGGGAAGGTCTGAATGCCAAGGAAAGGTAGAAATACCTTCTCTCTGCTGTTACAATTGCTCTTTGTTTTGTTAATAGTAGTGCTCTAAGAGCCTGTTATATATTGAATAAAACTCAGGACTGTACATGCAAAAATAAAAAACCCAACTTCTACTATATATTTTAAAACACATATTGTTGATAAAGTTTTGCATTGCTAAATTACTTGGATTTCCTAACTATCCATTGCAGAGTCCATTGGGTACTTGGAAGAAGGAGTAGATCACTCTTTTACTTAAGAAATGTGTGTAGGTGCCTGTAGCAGGGAAGGTGTAGTCTTGACCTACAGTGCTCTAATCCTGAACACAAAATTGCCCTATATGCGAGCTTGTAACTTTCATTTCAACCTGTCTTGTAGTTTCCATTCATCCAAGGAATTGAGCTATGGTTTCTCTGTGGGTCCTTCCTCCTGCTCTTCAAGGCTGTACCAAGCAGATGATGCTGATCACAGCAGCACTTCCAAACATCTGGTGCCCAGTCTTCCCAGGTAAACCTCCTTACAGGTGCATTCGGCCTGACATTACTGACAAGTAACAAGGGTCACTATGACACAGCTCCAGGTCTCTTTCTGGATTTCAGACCGTTTCTACTGTGATCCCAATTTCTCTAGGGATTCACATCACCCCAAGTGTACAGTAGAATTGAAGGACAGTGCAACAGCAATGGTGGGAAGAAGAAAGAGCAAGACGGATGAGTGGATGAGCAGCAGTCATGTATGCCAGGTACCACCCTAGTCACCAGACACAGGATTAGTGAAGGCTCCTAGCAATCCAATAAAACAGGTAAAGTCTTCTCCCAGTAAAGAGTCTTGAAGATGGCTGTTCAGGTGAACTGCCTAATTCCAGCAAATAGGAAAAGACAAAAATCCCATATCTACCTCAAATCCTTTGGAGTCAGGAACCCACACCCTTCCCCACCCACTCTGTCTCAGGCTTACAGCTGGTTTCATTGGCAAATGGCTTAGCTTTCTTCAAAGCAGTGTCCGTGTCTCACCTGGGCCATTGAGACCAAGCAGCAGGGTCCCACTCTTACTCTGAGTTCTGACTTGTTTAGCTTCAGGCAAAGAGCTCATTAGTTCCCTGATTTGGATATCTAAAGGGAACATTTAAAAGTGTCTTTCATCGGGTGACAAACAATGATCCAAATATATCTGCCCCAAACTGCAAACCGAACTCAATACATTCCGTTCTCAGTTGACTCTCAGGCCATCCGGCTCAGCTCCGCAATACACATTCATGGGCTTGACTTCCATGCAGGCTGACTCAGCCTTGAATCTCAGTCCATGCAATCGTGACAGAAGTGCCTAAGAGAATATCTTCAAGGAAGCTCTATATGAAGGAGGTCAGGGCCAGAAGCATAGTGGATAAAGGAGAAGGGCCTGGGGATAATATTCCTCTGTGCTCTGAGAGGTGGGATGAGGGTTTGTAGGAGCAAGAGGAACTTCAGTCTGTTTCCAGTCTGCAAAGTCTGTTACGGTGCAGGTGGTGATTTGAATATGAATAGCCCCATAGGCTCATATAATTGAATGTGTGGGCATTAGAGAGTAGTGTTACTTGAGAGAGATTAGGTGAGGCCTTGTTGGAGGAAGTCTGGCACGGGAGGTGGGCCTTGAGGTTTCAAATGCTCAAGCCAGGCCCAAACTTTCTCTCTTCCTGCTGCCTGCTAATCCCCACGTAGAACTTTCAACTACCTCTCCAGCACCATGTCTGCCTGTGTGCTGCCATGCTTCCCACCACGACTAGAGTGGATTAAATCTCTGAAACGTAAGCTAGCCTCTATCAAATGCTTTCTTTTATAAGGGTTGCTGTGGTCATAATGTCTCTTCACAGTGAAAGAAACTCTATCGGTGCAGCAGCCTCTTCTGGACCCTGAGGACACAGTATAGGGTTTTGGGATAAACATGGCGAGGTCAGACACTAAGGGACACAGGGAGTAGAGGAGACTCAGAGTCAGGAGTAGACTCTGTCTTTTGACCAGGAAAAGTGATGGTGCCAGTCTAAGACTGGCAGGGAATGTGAGTTCTGGAGAGTGGTCTGAGTACTCTGTCAGGATCTGGGGTTCAAGGACAGTTATCTATAACTAGAAGAAACTAACCCCCAAACACCAGTGCAGACACTGAGGGGGTTGGGAACCCATACAATGATCTAAACCAAGGGGACGCCAGATGGGGTTCTCAGTGTTAAGAGTAGGGTATTGGGCCAGTACTCACCCATGAAGCTTGGGGAGCATCTCCAGGACTTGTCCTAAAAGAGGGATCAAGAGCAACTCCAAAGAAGTTGGGTCTAGCTTCTGACCAAGGGCTGACTTGGGAACTAGAACTATCCTTCATACCTCAGACCAATGTTACTGGGCTTGCCAGTTTGCGACCAAAAGGCCTGATAGGGGCTAGATGGAGGATGGGGTGAGAAACTTGGGATGCATGCCATAGCCTGCTGTGACAAAGCCACTTATGGGTACGGTGGGAAGAATAGCCTTCTAGTCTGACTTCACTAGCTGTGCAAAGGGATCACATTTCTCTTAGAGTGAGATAGGAAAACCAGACTTAAGAAATAGCAACACACAGAGTGTCTATTACCTAGCAGATAACTGAACATAGGGGATCTAATACATCTGAGTATCATTTCCCAAGTCTGTGTGTCTCAGGCTTGACTGCGCATCCCAGGGAGTTCATCAAACCATAGTACTTCTGCTCATCCTCCGAGGGTATTTCCTGGTCTGTAGCTCTGGGCTGGGCTCAGACAATGCACTATCTGTATCTCACACGCAGCAGCTGATGGGCAGAGACCACCGTCCTTGACAAGTACTGGATATAAGTTTTCTAGCCAGTACTTTAGAGTGAGGGAAGATTCATCTTGTTTTACCTCTTTGCTGTGGGTGGGACCTGGACAACTTTCTCTATTGTGTCTTAGTTTCGTCACCTCTAAAATAAAGGTAATAGTTGTTCCTTAGGATTATTGTAAGGATTAGCTGTGTGAACAACTTCAAAGAGCACCTTATGGTAATACAAAGCAAGCACATCAAAGTCCCAGCTCTTAGTACATACTGGGAGCTTTTAAAAACATGTCATCTGGGTTGACAAAGACCATTCAAAATGAATATTATCACTGTTTCATCAGAAAATTCATGATGAGGTTAACCATGCAATTAGGATCTGAACCCTGGGGCTATTTCAAAGTGGGTTTTACTGCTTCCTTCCTCTCTGTCCACCTTCCTTTAAACTCTAAACCCAGCAAATGGCTGAACCCTAAAGGATGAATAGACTTAGGCTTTTAAGAATTCTGGGAGCTCAGAGAACAGGAGTCAAAAGGAGGAGGTGGGGGTGGATGTGGTAATTGGGCACAGAAGCTGCCCAGGACCCACATGGTGGACATTTTTGTGTGTTCAGAGAACAGATATGTACAATGACTCAGTGTTTTGCCCACACACTCCCGCTTTTCTCTTGGCTGTCTTAGCTGATTGAAGTCATCAGTGGTGATGTGGCAGGTGCAAACGGATCACCCACTGATGGATTACACAGCACTGGAGAGTATCCCTCCCTTCTGCCTAATATGGACACCAAATCCAGCCTCTGAGCTATAAGCATGAAGAGACACTGTGACTTGTGGATGATGAATCAGAGCATCCCACTCTCCCACATGGACCACAATGTCCCAGCAGCAGGAAGGATCTATTGTAGCCAGCCCATACATAGTAGGTGGGGAGTCTGTGTAGCTCTTGCCCTAATTGCAGTCACTTGCCTTGCATTACACGCTTATGAACAGAGGTGGAAACCATGTGTTTGGTCATCCCAACTCCTTACTGCTGTCAGACAGAAAACTCATCCATATTTAGCATCTGAAGGCTTTATAGACTGGCAACTGCCACTGTGGTTTTGGCAGCCTGAATTTTAGTCTGAATTTCCTTTGGTCTGGAAGATAAATCTACCTGGCATCCCTTACACTCCCTGAATTCACCATGCCTAAAAACCTCTTCTGCACCCTTTAATCTCTGAGCCTTCCCTTTCTTCACCACTGTCTCTGGGTGGTAACATCAGTAAACATCCAAGCCAGAGGCCCAGAGTAGACCCAACATATGTTTTGAAATTTTAATTAGTTGATTTTATTTTTTGAAAAAGAAGAACAAATAGTTCCCAGATGCCCCTTCTCTGTTACTCCTAAAACCAATGTCTTCCATTAGATGGTGCACAGAAATTTGTTATGATGGATGAACCAAAACCAACCCATTACTTATTAAAGTCCTTGTTAACATAAAGGCTGACTCTTTGTGTTAAATATTTTGTAAGTTTTAGTAATAGATTTCTGCATGGTATTCTTATTCTAATGGTGGACACATAATATCAAGACACACATTGTAATAGAAAGGTCAGTCCTTAAGCAGATAGAAGTGAGGTCTACATAGAAGACTCCTCCTAAGAAGGACATCAGGACATGATTGGTAACACCTCGCTATCCTTGCCACTTGGTCTCAGGAATATCCACAATCTTAGCTGGTTTCTGGTTTCTCCTGACCTCCTCAGATAGGTGGCAGAGCATGTTGTTTTTAGATTAACTTATTTATTTGTTTGATTGGTTTTTGTGTTTGTTTTGAGACAGAGTTTCTCTGTGTAGTCCTGGTTACTCACTGTGTAGACCAGGTTAGCCTTCAACTCAGAGATCTGCCTGCCTCTCCCTCTTGAGTACTGGGGTTAAAGATATGTGCCACCACTACCACTGCCCAGTAATTAACTCTTATTTTAAGTGCCAGCTCATGGAATCACCTGTAAATGATCTAGCGATCTTTCTGTAGAATATATGTACTAGCTGAGCTAGCAGGCTATTCTCTTGATCCCAATGTCTGTAATGTATTTTCAGGTTTCTGGGCTGATCAGTGGTATCCATCTATGGACCTGGTTTCTAAAGCAAGATGTCCATCATCCACCAGTCCCTGGTAGAGAGTCAATGACTTGGGATATCTTCTTTTCCTTCTGACTTCCATATAATCTCAAGGACAATCTCTGCTCATTTGTTTCCTCATCTTCTCCTACTTTCAAAGGCCCCACCTCCACCTCAGTGATGGGACCAGACAAAAGGAAGAAAGAAGACAAGAGCAAGCACTACCATACCAGGGAATTCAACTAGGTGCCCACTGTTCACATTGGCACTACCTTGGTTAGCTTTTCATTCTTAGATGTGGAAACGGTTAACTTCAGAAGCATCAATGGAATGATCTGGAATGCCTCCACTTGTTACAGGATAAATTCATTCAGGGAAAAGGAATGCATTGTTCACATATTTTAGACTTCTTTTTCCTTTTAATTTGAGTGCTGTGGGCTATTAAAATGTTTTCTCACAAAGAGGGGGCGTTAAGAAGGCTAAGGAAGTATTCATTTCTGTTATGTTCACTATAACTAATTTGAGGGGCATGTTGTGTGCTATAGGACGTGATGCAGAAGCAGGTCTTTGGTGTGGTGATCATTCTAGCCACATCTCCAAAGCAGAGTGTCTGTATCAAGTATGCATACTTTTCATCCACGATTAGGGTCCTCTCCAGTTTATCTAATGATGGTCCCAAGGATCAAAAATCTCTGGGCACAGCTGTAAGACCTTGATCAGATACCAGCTCAGAGTCTTTGAGTTCCGTTGTGAAATGAGGGCCTTTCACTGGAAGGCCTAGTGCAACCACGTCTACTGGATTTCACATTCTGTGCATGCTTCTGTGCATGAGAAGAAATTGAATTCAATCAACAATACAATTATTGGGTTCTGTCCACTGCTTACTATCTCAACCATTGGCGCAGAAATTCCAACAGTGTCTTCCCTTGCCTCTTAGAGACTTAAACTAGCTTGTAACATTGTCTTCTCTAGGAAGAGGGAGTCCTTCCAAAGACACTTACATCGTATTGACAACTTTCATGCATATTGTAGGAAAAAATGGTGCCTCAGGAGAAAACTATGCACCCTCTATGGCCCACCTCTCCAGGGGATCAGATCCTACTGTTCATTGTCTTTGAGCTGTTTAACAATGTTCTATAAATGATAAGTAATAGATATGGAAATTGTGTTCTGTCTGTTCTAATTAGCTTTCTCCTTATTTGGGGAAAAACCAGTTTTGTTTCCATCCAAAATCCATCTCAACATTCCTTTACCCTACAGAAGTGTGTGTGTGTGTGTGTGTGTGTGTGTGTGTATGCACGCGAGTGTGCGTGCGTGTTTTGGCTTCTCATTTGAACATCTGCCTGGCTTCCTGCTATCTAGAGTAAATGTGCTCTTTAATGTGGGTATTTTTATTTTTGTATGCGAGTCATGATTTTTATCTCTCTCTGAAAATTATCTTTAATAGCATATTGTCTCCTCCAAACCTTCCCGAAGACTCTTTCTATTTTCAGCCCATAACTGAATGTTGTTGTCCATCATCAGCTCTGCTCTTTAGTGCTCTCCTCTCTCCCTCCCTCCCTTCCTCCTTTCCCTCCCTCCTGTTAAAACACCTCCTAGATTCCTGTGCTCTTTATCCCAGACTTGGGCAAAAATCAGGCTCCAACATATCCGGGTCTTGCTGGAAAGCAAATGTTTTGAGGTTTGTTGTGTTGGAAATTTCAGCTACAGTACTTAGGAAATGCAGCCTGGGCATGCTTTGGTATTTAAGATCACTTAAGGGCTGCCTAGTCAGTGCCAGGAGACAGAGACCGGAGGTGCTACTTTCCTAACTTTGGGAGGCAGACTGGAGGCCTGCATCTTTTCAGATACTCGGGATGATGTTAATTATGTGATTATTTAACCCTTTGCTTTGCTTTGATTTTTTTTTTTGGTTTTTGTTTTTATTTTCTCTTTAAAATAAGATGTCAGATTAAACTGGATGTCTGTTACCTTCAGTTAGTGCTTTTTTTTTCTTCAAAGAATTACAACAGCCCCAAGTGTGACTTTGCTAATATATTTAGGCTGTCTTATTTAGGTGTGCATTGATGTGTGACACACACAGAGAAAATAGAGGAAATGAGAGAAGGCCCCACCAGTTTGCAAAGTGTTTGAACTGTGGTACTTCCTCAAATCATCCCCTATGCCTCATTCGAAGCCACTTCTCAGTTCCACACATCCCGGGGAAGCAGCTGCCCCTGGGGGCTGCTGTGGTGATAACTTCCCTGGGTCCCTACGATAGGGACTTTTTTTTTTTTTTGGAAACGTGTTCAAGCTAATTAGAGATGTTCAATTATCTCTGTTAAATTCATAGCTAAGGGAAATAAGAGGGGGAAGTGAGTCACAGATGCTGCACTTTCTACTTTAAAGTTTTAACCCTTTCTCTACAGTGGTGTGAACAACATTCATTTTAACCACCGCTCCCACTGAACACAAGAGTCATGTCTTCTGCCAGAAAACATGTTATATTGGAGAAAGGGGGAAATTATAAGGTACGTGGTTTGCGGAGGAGCATCTTTGAAAACGGAGGTAGAGGACAGCTACAGACCAATACTAAACAGACCCTGTCTGGGCCTTAAGAAACTTTCTCTGGATAGCTCAGAGAGCACTGAAGAGGTCATTTCTACATTCTATGAATGAAATTCTTTACTAAATTATTCATTAGGAAGTCCCGGACTTGATCCTAGGCTAAAATAAAATGAAGCTATGGATGCTAGGTTGAAGCTTGCTTCACATTATAAAAACACAGTGACATAAAGACTCCAATTTGCCAAGCTCTCAGAGCACCAGATGGTACGCTTACACAGAGGAAATTCCTCTATGAACAGGCAGAAGTCTGTGATGTCAGAGGCAAGAGAAATCACCCTACTCGAGGCCTTAAAATTAGATACATCCGAAGTACAAAACTACAGTTTAGTTTAAAGATCTCAATCAGCTCTATTTTCAATTCTACAATCACATATTTCAGGCAATAAAACAGAGTAAGACTGCCAGTGGACTAAATGGGGAGGGTTTGTGTGTGTGTGTATGGCGGTTATAGCAGCGGAGTGCTGGAGAAAGGAAAACCAAACTGAAAAATATGGATGAGAGATGTTGCTCATGTCAGGCAACGCCCTCTGTAAAGCAGGCAGTCGGGCTATAACTCAAAAAGAACTGATTGGTTAACAGATTACTTCCGCTCGTGCGTGCATGCGTGCGTGTGTGCGTGTGCGTATTAGGGCCTAGTGTGAGAATAAGACTTTGTTTGAAAACAGTGGCCATCAGAAATATTTTCTTAGCAGCACTAAGTCTTTTTTTTTTTTTCCATCAGAATTTAAAACCCAACAGATACCCAAGCAGTGTGGTGGCCTTGGCCCCGCCTCTTCCTCCAGTCAGTCCCTGGTACTAACAGAGTGACCCGAAAAGGAGAGTCAGGAACTCCAAGCCCCTGGAAACCCTACTGTGGTTTTCTGTGAGATGATGACATTTTCCCAGAACCAACCAGAAGGCCATTTGGGACACCTCAGGTCACTTTTGACACTCCCTTCTTCCTCTTGCTCTGCCCATGCTATGCACCGTTGACCCAGCCCAACTATTCCAGCCTCTGGCAACTGGCTGCCACTGAGCTGCAGGCTTCTCTCGTTGACTGAATAGATGAATGGAAGACTCTACTCTGAGTCTGTCTGTCCTCTCTGTCTCTTCTACCTGTCCTTCTCATGCCACAAGAATGGTTTTCGATGTAAATCTTAGTCATGTCCCTTTCTTGCTTAAAATTCCTTGATGGCATCTTGCTCCCTGCACCAGTGAGGGCAAAAGTCAGCCTGCTTAAAGGTTGATTTAGGTCCTACCTTAAAGGCTTGACAGTCAGTCTTGAAAGATCACATTACCCTAAGTATATTCCTTGAATCCTAGAGCAACATTTAAAGGCATTTTCAGAGGAGGACTTGAGCTTTGGATGACGGTGAAATTCATATTACCTGGCACCCAATAAAACTGATCAAAACCAAAGAACTAGAAAGATAAACTTAATTTAGAAATAAATGCAGATAGGAACAAGATGATAGAAGTAACAGGACAGAGTATTTCTTAAAGATACAAGTACAAACCATAAGATAAAGAAGAAAGATGGCAACATGACATATTAGGGAGGAGAAGAAAACACACAGGAATGAAAAAAGAAGGGCCAGGTCAAATTTCTAAAGATTAAAGGAGCGCTTCTGGTAAGAGAGAGAGAGAGAGAGAGAGAGAGAGAGAGAGAGAGAGAGAGAGAAAGCACCTGAGGTTAGAATAATTCTATCTTAGACACTTAAGACAGAAGACAATAACTCCATGGAGTTTTAGTTACCTGCAAGTGGACTTAAAGCAAGTTAGTACACAAGTAAATTGTCCCCAGAAGAGTAGAAGGATAAAGGGGAGAAATAAAAGAGGAATAATTTCCCAACTTCAGAAAAGTGGGTCCAGAAAGTTCTACCAGAAACATATAGGAAACTTTTCAAAGCACAAAATGAAATGGCCTTAAAGCAGCAAGAAAAAAAAAAAAACCTTAAAAACATCTGGGAAAGGAGCATGAAGAACAAAGGGAAGAACAGCTAGCTGGCTCATCCTTGAGGATAACACAGGGCAAAGGACACTGGTTCAGCTCTGAGCTAAAAGAATACACCGTGAACCTAGACTTCTATGCAAAGCAAATATACATACATAGTATTATGACATATATGTATGTATATATGTATGTGTATGTATATCTACATATATGACAAGTGAAGGATAAGTGTTTTTTCAGACATACAGAATTGAAACAATGGATCACCAGTCTACAAGAAAGTTAAAGGAGAATCGGTAGAAAACAGGAAGATGACATAAGAAGTCTTGATCTGCACAAATAAATGCAAAGATTCTAAATGGTAAATATTTTAGAACTTAAATTTACTTTAAAAGCCTCTTTAATAAAAGATACTTCATCCATGAAAAAACTTAATGTAATATAGAATTTACAGTGTACAAGGAAATAAAATCTCCATAAGACAGACAAAAGATGGTGTGAACAGGAGGCTGTTAGATACGTTGGCATCCTATCAATGAAGGTGACTGGATAGTCAGGCTTGATGTTGCTGGAATAACACCATGACCAAAGGCAACTGGAGGAGGAGAGAGTTAATTTCTAGTGTATGGCTTATGGTCCATTATTGAGTAAAACCAAGGCAAGAACTCAGAGTAGAAATCTGAAGGCAGGAAGTAAAGCAGAGACCAGGGCGGAGCTCTGCCCACTGTCTCAGCCTTGTCATCATCTCAGGCCTGCCAGCCCTGGCATTGTCCACAATCAAAGCCCATTACAAGTTATAAATCTAAAAACAAAATGACACAGTAAACATAACTAAAAAGCCAATCAAAGAAATGAAATCAAATGATAAAAATTTAATCTAAAAGAAGATAAAAAATACCAAAACCCAAAACAGGTGGGACAAGGGGCAACACAGCAAAGATAGTGTGACATTGATTTTATGTGTAGCCACACTGAGTGTAAATGTGTAAAAGACTTATTTTGAATGACAAGCACCATCCAAAAATATTGTTTATGAAGGCAAGCTCTATTCTGTTCATTAGAAACAAAACAGAAATATGAAGACACAAATAGATTAAATAAGAAATGGTGGAACATGCTACAGTCACAGCTATTAGAAAGGGCTTTTCTACACTGAGAACTAGGAAAAGTGGTAAGGACAGCAAGGAGCGGATAAGGCATCATATCCACCCCTTCTATAATTTGTCTTACCAGAGAGTAGTGGCTCAAAACTTTCCTAAGGCTTTGACCCTTTAATACAGTTCCTCATATGGTGGTGACCCCCAACCATAAAATTATTTTCATTGCTACTTCATAACTGTGACTTTGCTACTGCTGTGAATCATAGTGTAAATATCTGTTTTCCAGTAGTCTTAAGCAACCCCAGTGAAAGGGTAGTTCAATCTCCCCAAAGGAGCCACTGTGGTTGAGAATCACTTCTGTGGAGGTTGTCTCCTTCCTCTGTCAACCGCTGTGGAATGTTGGAGGCAGTCCCAGACACTCACTGTGACCAGCCCCTCGAAGACAGAGAATGGGAAAAGTGGAGGAGAAAGGACCTCCAGGTGAGACTCAGGTATTGTGCTCAAGTGGGAGGGCGAGATCGAA